ACTTGTTCGTGAAAGCTTCTCGCACAGAAAACGACCGCCAGTGAGGGTTCCTATAGAAGAAACTAGAGTCGTATCATCTGTTTTGGCCCAAAAAAAAAAAAATCATCTGTGTATGGTCTTGCTATCCTGTCTTTAATTTAGCAGCCGCACTTAACTTATAAATTACTCTTCCGGTTCTTAATATAAAACTTATTTAACTAATTTAATTATATTAAAGAAGTTAGATAAATTAGTTAATTATAAGAAATATAACATGTTTTTCCTAAAATACCATAATTATCTTCCTTAATATCTTCCATTTCTCTTTTATTTGATCATGCTTGAAGAAGTATCAATAAAAATAATTTAGAAAAAATTGATAAATATAAAAAATATGTCTTATATTTAGAACCAAAATCAACTTAACAATTAGGTCCTATATTAAGAACTAGAGTATAATATTAAATGAGTATTTTATGAATGTCAAGCTATATTTGTTATAATTAACTAATTTATATATCTTTCTTAATATATCTAATTAGTTAAATAACTCTTATATTATATTTGGTTCTTAATATAAGATTTAGATAATTAATTTGGAAATATTAAGAAAATTAGTGAAATTGGTTATTTGTAATAATAAGTGTTGGTTTTCCTAAACTACCCTATTTAATTATGTGTATTGGAATTATTTCTTGATTGGAGTTCCTTACAACCAATCGGAAAAATTCTGAAAGAAAAATTACAAATCCAAGAGATAAAATGGATTGATGTATTGTATTAAAAATCAAATCCTTCCTAGCAATTGACTCTTATATTAAGAACGGTAGGTAATACTAAAAATTGAAGGTAACAGTTATTTATAAATGAAAAATAAAATAATTATGTTTTTTTTTCCTGGACAATAAAATAATCAGAATGCTGCCAAAAAACTGCGGTGAATCCGAGTGGAGATGCACAATAAAACGCTAAAATGGGGAGATCACTTTCACAGCTTTACTCTCTCATCCTCTTCTTTAGCTCTCACCTGCTGACACTAATTTTTCTTTCTTTCTTTCTTTTGAAATTTAATATGACAACCATTGCTATTAAATTATTAACAAGTCGCTTTAAAAGTTAAATAGTTAGCAACGTGGCTTATGTTGCTGTTAATAATGTAAAATTATGTTAGTGAAAACTGCTGGAAAGGAAAACGATGGTTTGTTGAGTACTTTATAATACCAGAACTGTCCTGTGTGAGTGGGTTTTGGTTGTTAAAACTTAAAACAGGAGCAATTGTACCTGAAAAGAATAAAATAAATAAAATACTTCCTCCATCTCTGACCCTATGTAAGAATTATTTAATTCATTTGGCTATATAGAAGTGAAATAAATTACTTTTTATATGTGATTAACATAAAAACTACTTAATTAATTTAGATAAATTAAAAAAATTAGATAAATTATTTAGTTATAACAAAGATGATATAACCTCATTAAAATATATCGACAACATTATATTAGTCTATTAATTAGGTAGATTAGTTCGAGAAAAAATAATAAGCATAAAAAATAAGGTGGGTTGAGTTAATTATACTTGTATTTAGGGTTAAACTCAATTAACCAATTAACTCTTATAGTAAAAATAGATGGGGTAGCTAACTATGATACATATGACACATTTTTCTAAATTACTCATACATAATATATATAAATTTATAAGTTAAATGAATAATGAAAAAAAATATAAAAGATAAAGTGAATTAAAACTTACAAAATCAAATCCAATATTCAACTAAATTTATTTCTGGGTTAAGATGTATCCTGTACTTTAAAGTATTTTTTTAGGTGTGTCTAATATTCTAAAATATTTAGTAGTGCATCTAATATTTTAAAATATTTTTTAAGCACATCCAATATCTTAAAGTATTTTTATTACAATTCTACACTTAGTAATTTAGAGTGCTGAATGTAACATAAATAATTTGGAATGTTATAAGCATAAAAAAAATTTAGAATGCTGAATATATCAAAATATAATTTAAAGGGCTGGACAAACTTGCCAAGAATATTTTCAAGGCATTAAGTTCATGATAAAATATTTGAAAATATTAAATATACCTAAAAAATATTGTAAAGTACAGAATGTACTACTTTGAGACTTTATTATGAAACACACAGGACTTTGTTTGATGGAATGTCGTTGTCGTCTCCTCCTCTCAAAAGGGCATCAAGCGTGACCCGCGGACGAACTCCAGTATGTGTGGGGCACAATCGTTTGTCTGTTAATTAATGAATTAATAATTAACCGTTTTAATTTTTTTTACTCCAAAAAGATTGTTTGAAATTTTTCTGCTACGAGAATGTGAAAAATTCTCAATTATTAAACATGTTTAAGGCCCATAAAATTAAATTACCCGTGATGTCGTCCGCCCTCAAGTTCCTAAATCAAAATTGCAGCTTCGTCTTCCGCGTCATAAGAGCGTACTTCTTCGTAAAATCCAAAAAAAAAAGAGGTTGAAAGATGAGATTTTAACTTAAAAAATTACAAGTATTAAAAGTTTAGGATAAATATATAATCTTAACTCTAATTTTGTTTTTTACGTAAAACTTTACCTCTGATATTGTTAAGAGTGCAATTTTATTCCTAATTTTTTGAGCAATTTTTAGCACTCAGAAATTAGAAGTGAAATTGCACCGGAAAAAATCAGAAATAAAAATTACACCCAAAAAATTAGATTAGAGTTAAAATTACAACACTAAAAAAAAATCAGAAAATCAAAGTTAAAATTGCATCCTTCCACTTAAGTTTAAGGCAATACAGATGAACACAGACAATATGCTGATATTAAGGGGGTGTTTGGATAGAAACCAAACCATGGTTTCAGAAGTGCTTTTACGAATTACGAAATAAATATATGGAGGAGGTTACCTCGTTTTGTGGAAAAGTGATTCTAAAACCGTGGTTTTGATTTTGCCAAACACCCCTTAAGATTCATGCACATGCTCACATCTCAGGTCAAAAAAAACAAAGTGCACATGCTCACACGCATAGCAGCCAGATGATAATGTATATAATATAAAGTAATAAATGACTTTTAATGAGAGAAGCCATCGATGGCCCAAAAAAGAAGGCGGGGAGAGAGAGAGAAGACATCAAGGTTTTGTCATTCATGACCTCATTCATGCTTTAGTGTTTATATACGACACGATTTGTTTAACTTAAGGTGATGATCTCTTTGTGCTTTTGAATATAAACGTTCAATTCTTCGGCCCAAGAAAAAGAAAAAGTAAACGTTCAACCCACAAATTAATCTAAAATTTTACGAACAAGAATTGGTCCAAGTGGTAAACGGCTTGGTACTGCTTAAGCGAGGTCTCGAGTTCGAGCTCAGTGTATACAGAAATCTCCATTGGAACACTCACCCATTACAGCCAGGTGTGCGACTCGAGTCGGATCCAGATGTAGTCGGAGCAAAGCTCCGGTGAACTATGTAGGCAATCAAAACAAATTAATCTAAAGTTTTTTATTTTATTCCGCTGAAATTCATTTAGCATATATTCAGAATGCAAATTCTTTTTTTTTGGCCAGAAAATATTCAGAATATAATTTCAAAAGAAAAGGTTCCACTATTTGATTAGATGGCCATTGACTCAAAGTGGAAATGATCAGACTGCGCTCAAATACTGAATCCCAAAACATGATCATATTTTTCTAATTTTATTATAAGGTAATTTTTACATGTTTAACCAAAAGTCAAGAAAAAAAAACTTTAAATTACATTAGCTGTGTTTTAAAATTTAATAGTTCTTTAATTTTATTGTTTTTTAATACACATTATTTAATTTTTTAAAAAAAATAATGAATTAAAAATAAAATTATACATGGATATAATAAATTCAATGAGATAACTTATATTAAGGATTAATAATAGAGTAACATACTGAGAATTCCATAAGAATGTTACCTATTTTGTTTATTTAATACAAAATTTCATAAAAGTACAGTAATTTTGTCTTGCTGGACCTATTTAAAAAAATATTTTAAGGTGCTCAATGCACTACAAAATATTTAAAAGTACTAAATGCACTCGAAAAAATATATTGAAATGCTGCGGGCATCTTAACCCTTGTTTGTTCAATGCAAAATATTTTCTCATAAAAAATTTATTCTATTCATTATCTTAACTATAGCTTGTGGGTTAGTTAGTTTAACAAAACGTGAAAGTAAGAGTCAGTTCAGGGGATAGAAGAAATTTTGTTTTTATTAGGGTGGATGAAACTAAACCATGGTTTGGAGAATAGTTTCTGAAGAATAAATTCTAAAAAAATAGATTTTGGAATAGATTTATGAAAAATTTTGAGAAGTGTGAGTGTTGGATAGTTGTTATTAAAAGTATTTTTTATATACAAATTGGCATAAATTAATATGATAATTATAGAAAATATATTTTATGATATTTAATTTGAAGAAATAAAATGTTAATAATATATTTTTATTAACATATATTAATGATATAAGATATTTAATAAATAATTAATATGTATATATATTTATAAGATATAAGATTAAATATGTTTATAAAAAATATGTTTATAAAAAAACAAGATACATATCCTATAGGCTTTCACACTCTCCCTTTTTTCCAAAAGTAAAAATTCTGCTTTTTCCAAAACTATGATTTTGGAGTCAAAACCATGGTTTTGAACCAAAACCATGGTTTTGATTTTTTTAAAGGTGTTTGGCTAATATTTTTCTCAAACCATAGTTTGAGTCCCAAAACCATGGTTTGGGGTGCTTGCCAAACACACCCTTGGTTGCCAAAACAAACTTTCTTTTAATCAGCCAAACATGTAAAATTTACAAGAAAACGCTAACGGATTTTTAATAATTTTTTAAACGGTACGGACAGTAACGATAACGTAGAAACCATATTAGTTTTGCTAAGTGATCAAAGAAAGTTGCAAAGCTGACGTGTCCGTATAATAAAATAACGACGATGCCCTTATAAATCCCATTCCCTCTCGTTTCAGTGGAAAGGAAAAGCGGAGCTTCTTCTCCTTCTTTCCCAGCCTCTCCCTCGGCTTACCCCGCCACTTTCTTGGCTTCGAGGACGCCAAAGTCCATATTCTCAGAGCCCTAATTTTCTGTTTTCAGTTTTAAGATAGCTGGTATTGCTCTTATAACGATTTCACAAGAGAAATTTTTAAGTTTGGCTTCACTTCGTTCTTTATTTTTTTGGTTACTTTGACACACTGTTCAGAATCGTTTCTTGCAATCGTGTTTGTATCCAATTTTTTTTGTAATTCTCATGTCTAACTTTGAATTTCAGATTTTATTGTAAACAAGCCAAAACGTCTTGTAGAACTTGCTCTGCTCTGTCTTGAGCCGAACTTCTTCACGGCAGCATAATTATTTTCTTCTGCTCTTATCAGTGAACCACTGTAGAAGCACTTCCTTTGTGTTTCTGGGTATAGCAATAACACATCTGAGGAAACTTACTCTTTTTATCCAAGATGACGACATTGATACTTATTTTTAATTTGTTTTGAGTCGCTGGCATTCGCTTTTAAATCTGAAAACTGAGCTGTCTTGCAATTCTCAAGAATCGTGGGTGATATAACACAAACCTGTGCTTGTATATGCTGATACTTGATAGGCTGAATTTATTGACGTCAGAATTTTTATAATGACAGAGACAACTTACATGTCAATTTTTTTCTTTTTGTTCTACGTTAGTTCCTTCACAAATCGCTGACCTTGAAGGTGGGCTTATGTACATGTATCTTCTTCAGGAGAGTACCATGGTCGTGATTTCACGGACGGGTTCAATGTACTGCACGCGCACTGAGACGACACGATGCAGAGTTGGGAACAATACACTTTGTCGCGCAAGACAAAAGTTTTACGCATCCCATGTAAAGAAAACTCGTGTTGGTTTCTCTTCCTTATCATGCGATTCTGCGAGAAAGATTCAGATTACACAGAAAAGTATGTTTAACAGCGTTGGATCTAAACGGAATCATACAGTGATTGTTGCTGCCAGCCCTCCTACAGAAGATGCTGTCGTTACTGAGCCTCTTACAAAGAAGGATCTTATAGACTACCTTGCCTCTGGTTGTAAGCCGAAGGAAAAATGGAGGTATTATTATTATTTTTTCCAATTTCATGCTAGTTCATTTCTTTGTGTCGCTTTAACAATCATCATTCCCTTATCTCCGGTACCCAAGTTGCCAAGGTTCTTGTTCATAAGAATCAACTGGTTTTATTTTATTTCTTTATTTTTCTTTTTCTCGTTTCATGGAGCATGTTAGATAGCAGCTTCCTTCTTAGCCGAGTAGTTTTCTGATATTTCATGGTTTAGTTGTGTGCTTTCTTGTTGCGTTTGAAAATTACGATATTTGATTTCTGGTCCGCTAGATTATCAATCCTAAGTTCCAAGGTTCATGAGTTGTTGGATTTCCCTGTTGTATATTATCTCAGTTTTACTCTTCATCAAATTTCTATAGCTACTCCGTTAGAAACTTTATTTTTCTTCCGCTCTTTTTTTTGGTTTTGGGGGGGGGGGGGAGATGGGGGACTCTCCATTACGATGTTCCAAAATTACAATAATTGTTCGTTCTTTTTTGTTTAAACTATTTTTTGCAGAATTGGTACTGAACATGAGAAGTTTGGTTTTGAGTTTGGAAGCCTCCGTCCTATGAAGTATGAACAGATAGCAGAGTTGCTCAATGGCATTTCTGAGAGATTCGATTGGGATAAAGTAATGGAAGGTGATTATATTATTGGACTTAAACAGGTAAACTAGTTATCTCCGTATAAACAGCAACCCTTAAGCATTTTTTTTCCAAGAGAATCTTTGTTTACAACGTCGTTTATCAAGATGCTTCCTGGTTTGAGCATCCACATAATCAAATGCGTGGTTTTTGTTACTCCTTATTTTCTTGTAATTTTATTTATCTCAACTTATGTGGACCAGGGCAAGCAAAGCATATCATTGGAGCCTGGTGGTCAATTTGAGCTTAGTGGTGCCCCACTAGAAACTTTGCATCAGACTTGTGCTGAAGTTAACTCGCACCTCTATCAGGTCAGTTGAATAGTTGTACTTAGGTTTATGCATGTATGTGGGATGCTTTAAAGATTAAAGGTGGTCTGTTGTTATGTCAGTTAAGGAGGAAGTTGGTTAGAATTTTCTTTTTTCAGTCGATGTTTCAATCAAAGAAGTTACATATCATCATTGTAGTCAGCTTAACTTTTTTTCTTTTTAATTTTGGGATATCCAGAGATCTGCTAATATATCGGTTTTCTTTTTCTTGATGTTGCCTCTGTATATGTTGTATATTTATGAAAAATCACTTTACACTTCTTTTCATTAGGTTAAAGCAGTTGCCGAGGAAATGGGAATTGGATTTTTGGGAATTGGTTTCCAGCCAAAGTGGGGACTCAAAGACATACCTATCATGCCAAAGGTGTTTTTCTCCTCCTTTCTATTGTGCAGGACTCTGAACTTGCTGAACATGCACATATTCATTCATTTGTACAAAAAGAAAAAAGTGGATGACACTTCCTGAAAGTAGATATTAAACAGAGAAAATTAGGGTCTATCCTTAGCACTATGCTGCGGGATCTGGCTTGATTTCCTGATATTAGGATTAAATATATGTCAAATTTCACAGTCATGGCTATTTAATAACTGTCATAACCTGAATACTTGCAGCATGCTAGCTTTATCATCTTTATTTGTCTAACTTGAACTCATGATGGCAACTGTGTGAACAATGTTGACATTTGCCTGGGAAACGAGGGGCTAGGCATGTGGCTCAGTGACTTAAGCTAGAGTCATTCTCTACATTACCCCTCTTTGTATATCAGACGTAGCTGTTATTTTAAAACTGTCAATTTCCCTCAGTGTATTGAGTTAAACGTATTATTGGAGGTTTATAGCAGGTTAAGCTACTGGGATCATTGTTATTCTACAGTAATACAAAGGGTTATTACTTAATTGATTGTTTAGAACATCTCTTGTTAGTGCAGCAGTGGTCTTTCTTTGTGGTTTTGTTTATTTAGTCTGTTGTCTGCGCGCAATTAACATGAGGGGAGGCGGGTCTAAGTCCACTCGGTGACTGAAGAGTGATAATGGTCTTCAATAGTCTATTACATGTTCTCTTACATGGGTGTTTTGGCTCAGGGAAGATATGAAATAATGAGAAATTACATGCCTCAAGTTGGTTCCCTTGGACTTGACATGATGTTCAGAACATGCACTGTACAGGTGAGATTATGATATTTTATGAGCTGATTATTTCCTAAGGCATCCTATTTTGGGTTTGGTGAAAATAAAATATTCTGAAGCAATATTTTAACCATCTCTCATGCTGAATATTGATATATTTCAGGCTTTACTTTTATAGGTCAATCTAGACTTCAGTTCTGAAGCAGACATGATAAGGAAGTTTCGTGCTGGTCTAGCCTTACAGCCTGTAAGGAGTATTAATCTTTTCTTTCCTTTGGAGATTTGTGGTATGATGTGAAATATAACTAATACTCTATATCAAACAGATAGCAACTGCTCTATTTGCAAATTCACCCTTCAAAGAAGGAAAGCCAAATGGTCTTCTCAGTATGAGGAGGTAAATTGTCATTTGGGTGTCACCTTACGTTCTCTGCAGTCTGCATTCTTGCTATATATCTTATTCGTTTCTTATTTTCTTAAAACAGCCATATATGGACTGATACTGATAAGGACCGCACAGGGATGCTGCCATTTGTTTTTGATGACTCCTTTTGGTAAGTTTTATAATTTGAGATAATTCGTGATTCATGAATCACTATAATGCGAGCAAAATGCCTCCAGGCTCCTGGCTTGCTTTGAATTTGAAAGATGGCATGAAAACACAGTGAAGTTTTTTATTTGTGTCAGATTTTCCAAGCTTTGAGCTAATCCTTAATATTGATGGTCCAAATCTAAATTACACGTATTTGAATTTTACATGCATTGGATGGTAGAATGCAATACATTAACATTTGGCATGCTCAGTCTCAATATCAACATAATATCAGTGTCAGGACCTGGCATTCTCAAACTTTGTAATTATTATTTACTAGGCCTAAAGGGGGGCTATGCCGAGTTAAGGATTATTTAAATTTCTTCTTGGGAAAAAATGTGTCATCTTGCATTGTCACTAAAAAGTATATTATCAATTTATTTTTCCAGTGCTGAGTTTGTGGTTTCTTTTTTCATTCTTTTCTGTTTTTTTAACTATTCACATGCAGTAAGAATTGAATGAAATTGTTGTTAACCTAACCTCTTTGGTTGAGAACTTCACACAAAAATTGTTGTGATACTATTGTCTTCGTCAGTGACTAGTATCATTTTTTACCTTGAAATCTTATTAATCTTACTTCATCCATTCTGATTTCTTTTGAACTCTTCAATTGCAGCTTTGAGCAGTATGTTGATTATGCTCTAGATGTTCCGATGTATTTTGTCTATCGGAAAGGGGAATATGTCAACTGTGCCGGAATGACCTTCAGGGTTTTCACCTCTCTTTGACATTTTTATTATCTTAGGCTAGCTTATATTGCACCGTCATCCTTTGTTTTGAAACTTCTCTCTTAGACGACTTTTACATTCAAGCCTTGGTTTGCTAAGGGTGTAGAATTGATCCTTTTATTTTTTGGGTAAGAATTGATCACTCTGAGTTCAAAATATTGCAGGATTTTATGGAAGGGAAGCTTCCTTGCATTCCTGGTGAATTGCCAACACTAAATGATTGGGAAAATCACTTGACAACTATATTTCCTGAGGTCAGTTCCATAATTGGCCGTTATCTGATGCTTATCCGATGATATGGCAGCATCTGAGGTTGTTCTTAGTTGAATTTTTTGGTACTTTTATTCTATTATTTTCAGGTTAGGCTAAAGAGGTACTTGGAGATGAGAGGTGCTGATGGAGGGCCCTGGAGAAGGTTATGTGCTTTACCAGCATTTTGGGTGGGTAGCATTTTACTATGCATAATATTTCTGGTCTTATTTTACCTGCGACCATCATACAGGCTAATCTTTGAAGTCAAGTCATGCAATCATTTAATGACCTATCATCTTGATTTGGAACAAGCAATGACATTTTTATGTCTTGTCTTTTGCATATGATAACTAAGGCATTAATCTTTGCTTGCACAGAACATAATTTTTATCTTCATTTGCAACTCATCAATTACTGTGACTCAGCTGCATTAACTTATTGTGATTTTTCTCATATCAGGTAGGCTTATTGTATGATGAGGTTTCTCTCCAGAATGTCTTAGATATGACAGCTGATTGGACCCCAGAAGAGAGACAGATGCTAAGGGATAAGGTAACGTCAAAACATTAAAAAATTTCATTTGTCTTAAATCAATTTTAAGGGTTTAATTTACTTATCCTCACTTCCTTTCTGTGTACGAGTTAGATTCTCATCATACTAGCCGCCCATTGAAGTGATATTTTGTTTCAATGTAGTAAAAACTGAAAAGGCACTTCTTTTGGTGTGGATGCGTCGTTGATGATCATTTTTTGTATATTCTATGCAAGCTTGTGCCATCACAGAGTCACTATTTTTAGCAGGCTAAATATCGGTTGAAATTTATATGTTGATAAAAGTGTTCCTTCTCTGGTGTTTTACACACTTTCACAGATGCTCAAGCAGAAATACTCCCCTGGCTCATAATATGAGTCCAGTTTAACTAATGTAAAACCAAAAATGGTATACATAGAAGTTACATCATTAAAAATGTTAAAAAAAAAAAGGTGCTACTTTCCAAATCTATCCTTATTAAAAAGTCAAACATTGATTATGATGAATTAATTACTTATAATATTTAATTGTATAGAAGGAGAAAATAGGGCAAATGTTAAATGTTCCTTTTTTTGGCCAAAAAATGTTTAATATTCTAGATATTATCAAATTGGACTTGTATTTTGGATCAAGCAAAGCTGACAGAAAAGGACCTTTATAGTGGACTGGAGGAGGCCTTTTTTTTTTTTTAAAATCCTATAAAATGGTTCTCCATATTTTCATTAGGACTACTGTGTGCTTTTAGTTACATCATGCATATAACAGCTATTTCTTTGATGGTCATTGTTCATTCTAGATTTTTATTGAGTTCTGACCATTGGAGGCATTTTCTGGTAGGTCCCCAAATATGGTCTAAAGACACCATTCCGAGATGGCTTGCTGAAGCATGTTGCTGAAGATGTTCTAAAATTTTCGAAAGTATGTGTCATTATTTTGTTATTTCTGTTATTGTCATCTATCTTATTAACCGCATTTGTATACTTCTCTAGGATGGTTTGGAAAGAAGAGGCTTTAAGGAAACTGGTTTCTTGAATGAGGTTGCTGAGGTGGTTAGAACAGGTAACTGATCTGCAGGTTTTCTTCCCCTCCCAGTAAAATATACACAAAAGTACGAGCATACCAGAGACTTCAAAATTTAAAAAAAAAAAAAAGAAAAAAAGAAAAAAAAGAAAAGAAAAGAAAAAGAAAAAGAAAACAACTTGGACGCCCCTAAAACAAATTTCAATTGGACGTTTTTTTCAACCAAGAATGCTCATGTTCTTTTCCCCCTGTTTTATTTAGTATTGTGTATACTACTTTTTGTGGTGGCAGGTGTTACACCAGCTGAAAAGCTTTTGGATTTGTATCATGGAAAGTGGGGGCAATCTGTAGATCCTGTATACGAGGAATTGCTATACTGAGGAGCGTTCAAGTGGCTGCCGCTTGTGACAGTTCGGTAGGATTTTTTCTTCGTCAGTTGTGGTGCTGGTTGTCTGTTCTGAGCCACTTGATGATTGATGATTACTTAGGAAATAATTTCTGATGTAAATTCTGTCATGAGGTTACCCATGCCATTTTCATTCAAGACATGATGTGATCAAACTGATGTTCGAACGCTTCATAAATAAATGTGAAAAGCTCGTCAGCTTACTCATCTTGTCAAAAGTGGCAGTAGATCAATGTTTGTGGTAGGTACGGGTTTGCTTTTAAATTTCCTCCCCTCTGCTGATATAGACTCGAGGATGTTACGCATTGAATGCCAATCTTTTTTTCAGTAATAATATATACTTATGGGTCTAAAGATTTATTGGTGAAGATTTGACTTGGAGAAAGTGAGACTTCCCCAAACTCAATTGGCTTACTTGTAGGTCTGGAGTGGTTTATTGTTGTGGATTGAACATCCCAACTCAGTCACTAATTACTAGAAAACCATTTATCAACAGCATTACATGGTAAATCCTATATGGCTTTTGTTGATCAGTCAATATAAGATATCATTGGACACTCTGGTTTGTAATTTCTGCAACCTTGAGAACGACGGAATAAATATCATCTCTCTAAAAAGAAATGATTTAGGATTCCGATTCCCTCTCCAATCACCACTAGTTCTTTATTTGGTACGCAAATAATTGTATTGAGAAGGAGACAGCCTGCCACGGAGCTTTGGTGGCTTCAATAATTGAATCCGAATTCTGCTTGCTGGCCTTGTATCTCTCAGCTCATATATCGATACACCTATCAGTCGGGTTTAGGAATTGTTAATAGAACCCGTCATTCGAGATTACGTTGTTCAGAGGTAAAAGCAGTCTTGTCAAGACAAGCAAGTTATCTCTGGTGTGAACCTCCGGCAGCAAAACCATTGATAATTTGTAAGTAAATTTTTAAGTGAAGGGAAGCTTCGAAAATTTTCAACCCAAATACTGGTACTAAGAAAATCAACCGGCGTTAATTCTAATGGAAAGGGCTATGACTGTTTAAATTAAATATCAGATCTTTGAGTTCTTTAACCTGTGAATGTAAAATATGCCTGTCAAAACGGTTTTTCCAATTAAGTTTGACAACACTCCAATCTAAATGTATTGGATCATGTATAGTTGATAGTTGTGGTAAAAAACTTGGAACTAGAATTTTGATCTTTTGCAGTATGCTCTTTCCCACTCTTCCATTTCTGCTATCGATGAAAGTTTAAGCTTCCAATGGTTACCTAGGAAAAGAGGTGATAATTCACTGTCCGGTCACATTGGGATAGCAGGATGACCAACTCAAGAAATGGACAATTTGGAATCTCATTGACAGATGGGATATCAAATGGTAGGACGGACTGATAATTCAGATGAGCCTAATAAGGCCATAGGAAGTTTCATGCAACTTGATTGTCACCTTCCATAGCCAGCTAATCAGTCTGCTTGGAGATTGACATAGCCTCCTCCTAACAAACCCACATGAACTGATTAATTGAACGCCCACCAATATATATATTTTTCCCATTTGACAGAAAGACAAAATCTGAATATCTCAATCTTCTCATCCTTCCACTCTTGCAACTACAAAAGGGCTTCCCTTCCCACTCACTGCTTTCAGGACTCTTCTTCCCCTCTCAACTTCTGCTCTAATAATTGATATTGTAAACTTTCTCCTAAACTTCTAATCTTTCACCATGAGAGAAATCCTGCACATCCAAGCCGGTCAATGCGGTAACCAAATTGGAGGCAAGTTCTGGGAGGTTATGTGTGATGAACATGGGATTGATCCCACTGGGAATTATGTAGGCAACTCCCACCTTCAACTTGAGAGGGTAAACGTTTACTACAATGAAGCGAGTGGTGGTCGCTATGTTCCTAGAGCTGTGTTGATGGACCTTGAACCAGGGACCATGGACAGCCTGCGTTCTGGTCCTTTTGGTAGAATCTTCAGGCCTGACAACTTCGTGTTTGGCCAAAATGGAGCTGGAAACAACTGGGCTAAAGGCCATTACACTGAGGGAGCAGAGCTTATTGATTCTGTTCTCGACGTTGTTCGTAAAGAAGCAGAGAACTGTGATTGCCTGCAGGGTACTACTACTCCTTATATGGTTTATTTATTCAACGTTTTAAGTTTCACTGACAGTTATATATGAATGAGTTCGTTTACGATTTTACAGGTTTCCAAGTGTGTCATTCACTGGGAGGTGGAACAGGGTCAGGAATGGGGACTCTTCTGATCTCAAAGATCAGAGAAGAGTATCCTGATAGGATGATGATGACTTTCTCAGTCTTCCCATCTCCTAAGGTCTCTGACACCGTTGTGGAACCCTACAATGCCACGCTCTCTGTTCATCAACTCGTTGAAAATGCAGATGAATGCATGGTCCTTGACAATGAGGCTCTTTATGATATCTGTTTCAGAACCCTCAAGCTCACTAATCCAAGTTGTAAGTCTCCTCATTCTTCCTATCTTTCCTTTTCCCAAAAGTCACCACTATATAACTAAGGATGTTTAGTCTAAAGTCTTGTGTTCTTGTTTATTGGATAATTGAGTGTGGTTGTGTTGCAGTTGGTGATCTCAACCATTTGATCTCAACAACAATGAGTGGAGTAACATGTTGCCTTCGCTTTCCGGGCCAACTTAACTCTGATCTCCGAAAACTGGCTGTTAATCTCATCCCTTTCCCACGCCTTCACTTCTTCATGGTTGGTTTTGCACCCTTAACATCTCGTGGTTCCCGAGAATACAGAGCCCTCACCATTCCTGAGCTTACTCAACAAATGTGGGATGCTAGAAACATGATGTGTGCAGCAGACCCAAGACATGGTAGATATCTGACAGCCTCGGCTATGTTCCGAGGTAAAATGAGCACTAAGGAGGTGGATGAACAAATGATCAACGTTCAAAACAAGAACTCATCGTACTTCGTGGAATGGATACCAAACAATGTAAAATCCAGTGTTTGTGATATTCCACCAACTGGTTTGTCCATCTCCTCTACGTTCATGGGGAACTCGACTTCGATCCAAGAGATGTTTAGGCGTGTTTCGGAGCAATTCACAGTGATGTTTAAGAGAAAGGCCTTCTTGCATTGGTACACTGGCGAGGGTATGGATGAGATGGAGTTCACAGAGGCTGAGAGTAATATGAACGACTTGGTGGCAGAGTATCAACAGTATCAGGATGCAGCCGCCCAGGAAGATGAGATTGAAGACGAGGAAGAGCCTATGCATGACTAAGAGCACAAGATGAAGATGCCTTTGGGACCATAATTAATTGTATATATATGGTGAGGGAGGTTTTGCATGCTTGGTTTGTGTGTCTTGTGCTTTGAAAGTGGATCTCATTCGTGAGAAGAAACAAGGGGCCCTTAACACATCGTTCTGGGGATCTCCCATTCATGGCCTAAAATAATTTCTATTTTATGTCAATTTTTTTAAGCATTATTTGGTTTCTTAACTATTCCGTGTTTGATTTTGATTCTACCATGTTGTGGGTATTGTTATTATCATCTTGTTTGAACATTACCTGCTCCTTGGAACTTATTTAATGTTGTTATTATGGCGTTTCCTACCCATTCCAGGTCCTTTTGACTTCTTCCCTTTTCTAAAATCTCAGTATATGATCGGAATTTTCATCAAGATTTGGTGTGATGGGGAAATATATACATGTCTGCTTGGGGCCACTAGCTGATTACTGATTATTCATTGTTAATAATCAGCTATGGCTCGTGAAATTCAACCACTGATCAGCAACTAAGGAATTGCTTACAAATGCTTTCCTTGGGCAAATTCAAATGTTATACAAAGATCAAATGATAAACAAGAGGATGAAGATTTAAATAATATGTTAGATGTAAAACAAATGAATACAATAATAGCCTATCGGCAGCCAGTTGCTTTACACATTAGTTACAATCACATAAAAAGCATTTGCTACCAAGCCAGTAAATACAGGACTTTACAGATGAATCCTTTACAAACACACAATCTCTACCATAAGTTTTTCCCTAAACCTTTCAAGATCTTCGCAACAAAGGAAACGTTTATGCAGGAGGGACTATAAACCGATCTCTATGCATGTAACACAATTGCCAAATAAGGACTAAAAGCCTCAGATTAATTTGCCCAAATATTGAGAGCCGTGGGTGGTGTTCTCTGAATGTTGTCTTCTGGAACAGGAAAACTAATTTGGGCAGTGACCTCAACTAATTTGTATTCTTTTTATTATGAAGTGCAGAACCCTCTTTGAGTGCCACATGGGCCTCATCCTCCCTGCCCAGTGCAAATAGAGCAGCAGCTTGCAAATGGAATGCAATGTACCAGAGAGGGGATATTGCTTGTGCCTGCAATGCATCGTCAAGTGCTTCCTCAGGCATATCACTCATGAGATAAGATAGACTTCGGCGTGCATAAACTGTCGGAGAAACCATGGTTCCGACTTCAGAGAACTGCATTACACAACCACCAAAGTATTAGCTACACATAGCAGCCGCTCTCATATCTGGTGGATCCTACTTTAATGTAACCAAATTACTCAAACACTTGCAAGTATTCTCGAAGGAGCACCTAGCAAACTTAATGGTCAAATTTAATAGCAAATAGCGGTTCAGGGCAGAAACGCTGGGAAATGAAACTTCCAGAGCATATAAGAGCTGAAAAAAACTTCCAGCACTAGGTGCTCCTTCGTGGATCTTTTCAAGGTATTTAAGCACCTTAGCTCTTTTTTAACAACTATTGTAAGAAATCACTGTTGATGCACTATATAATCTTATCCGCCAATCAAGAAGAGGACAGAAATCATTTTTTTCCCATCCTTGGAACTTAACAACTTGCAAGGCATGAATCGTTCAAACCTGTGTGTAGCTATCAATTGCAGCTTTGAAATCCTTGCGTCGAAATGCAGCATCACCCTTATTCTTCAAGTTCAATGTTTCTTGCATTTGGTTGGTCCAAATTTGGAATGAAAGCTGCATCAGAGAAAAATGAAAATTAAGTAGACAACCAAATTTACAAGGAAAAACTTAAATGATAAAAGACAAATGAAGTATACATCAAACGTAAGAAATACAGCAGCATAAAACAGGATACATGCCTTCACTCTCAGAGGCATATAAAACAACTAAACTGTCAGTTTGTGTCGCCGTGATTGAACATTTATGCAGAATTTACACACACACACACACTACGAGTGTCAAAATGGATACGCCTGCAAGCTAAGACCAAGGAAACCATAGTGGATCAAGTTATCACATTGACTTCTATTCTAACCAAGATCTTGACAGAAGCATCGACATTTAAGAGTCAAACGAAAGACACATTCCTAAGGCAGAACAGAATGATATATAAAAATAAATATGATTTATTACTCTGATTCAGCTTTTTTGATGATATAACATGCTTGCATACAAACATACACATGCAGAAGATGGTGAACAAGTAAGCCAAAGTACCAAAGATCTGAATGTTGATCATGAGCATGAAACAAGTTTCACAAGGTGTATATCAGAAACACACCTCATATGCAACACCTTCATCATCTTTATACCCGATCTTTTCTATGATCTCGTGTATAGCAGTCAAGTCCATTTTAAGACAAGCCTCACTGAGTGGTGGCAGAGGTAAAGCAGCACCACCATGGGGAATATCCATAAGCACATGAGAAGGAACCTGAAAAATAATATAGCAAAAGTTCATTCCAGCTTACTGGAATATGGTTTCAGTTCTCAGAACAAACCAGAGCCTAATGACTATCAAACATAAACTGTTAGCCATGACAATTGTAGACAGGAAATTAAAACCAGCCTCAGCAATCCTAAACATCCTAAAAAACAGATGTTACTCGAATAACAGAAATAACCTTGGATTCCTTTTGTAAGGGTATCAAAGCAGGGGCCAATGACTTGAGATAAGGACGCTCATGCGGTTCAGGTTGTAAACATTGTGATGCTAGGCGCAATAACTCAGTTCCCTCATAAACTGAAAATTGTCCTTCTAAACAAGAGTCTGTAAGAATCTGAAGGTTTCTTCCCCGAACCAGGTCAAGTGCCTGAAAAATTACAAAAATAAGTGATAAAATAATACCACACGCTATGACCTCAAGCAAAATTTACATTCAACCCAGAGTATCATTTTTTATCATAAAAGATTGTGACTAACAAGAAAAGGGAAAGAAGTTCATCTGGCCAAGAGATCAGTAACAGTCAGAAGATTGGCAAAACAAGTAGACATATAGCATATATTCATTCTTTTGTAACACGAAAAAATTGCAATCAATGCATTAGGGCCTGTTTTAATGGTCAAGACAGAATACCTAAACATTCTCGTCAACATACTGACCAAATCCTCCCATTTTCAATAAGCTCATACTTTTCATTCTTTCTTTTCCTCAAGTGGATAATAAGAGATATGTGACAAGCCAGTGTATTCTAAACCACCAACAGGGTGCAATAAACTTGTTGTGCAGAGCCTTGCATCGAGGAAAGAAACTTACATGGCTCGGAGGTATATGTTTTCCACTGAGAAGGTCAAGCAAAAGGGTGCCAAAACTATATGTTACAGTTTCTGGAGTTACTCTTCCTGCATAACCAGGGTAAGGAAAGCACAGAGATACTGAGTACATTCACCTCATGGATACCATATTCAGGACATAAGAAATAAAGGAAGAATAATAATACGAAAAAATCATCATATCACATAAAATTTCTTTTCTTTTGGAGTAATTGGAAGGGAGAAGGGCTATGACGTGTTGAACGTCAGTGAATTGTGTTGATATATTACTGTTGTGTCATAAAAACTGTCTTCACAAATTGATCCTAGAAGAACAGGACGATGGGAGTTCTCATTGTCTATTAACTAAATTTACAAATTTATTATTAAAGAATATTTGTTAGAAACCCATTTTATTCATGGGTAAATAACTAGTAATGTATAATACACACAACTCATGATGTAAATCTATTTGCTACAAGGGGACATGTAAAACTAGTCTAAGACAGCACCAGTTTAACCTAAGAACAAAATTTGCTGGTAAAGGGATCCATTTTACAGATTAAAGATTAATTTCGTTCTCAAAACATGAGTCTTGGGTGCTCTTAAAGACAGAAAACAATTAGACATATAACAATAAACCAAAAATAAGGAAAATTTCAACCATATGAAAATAAGTTTCCTTGATATTATTTTAACCATTTTGAGAGAAATTGGATATTAACTCTTCTAGGTAAAGTGTCTCTTTAAGAAGTGATTTAAAAAAAAAAATTAAAAGGGAAAGATAAAAGAATAAAATGGTAATAACAAATGAAAGCTCGGTTGGCATCTCCAGAAAATATGCAAAGGGAGTTCTACACCCTAGGAAAGAAAGAATGGATTGCAAGATAATTAGACCATAAGAAAGAACACTCCAATCTTCAATGGTGTGCTTTTCTTAGTTCACGGTCAGTTGTTTGAAAGCCTATAAATTGGACATAATCACATAACAATTTGAGTTGGAACAGAAAAAACTCTAAGGAGAGTGTAACTTGATTAGTTTCAAAAGTTTACTATGAAAGCCCAACTTTCAACTCACGGAGAATAGAAGATCTGACAGTACAAGTTTGCGATGGTAGGGAGTACCTGTTCTGAGATACTCAGGAGGGGCAAATGCTAGATTTGTACTGTAACTTTTCCCATCTCGACTGTTTTTCATCAAACCAAAGCATGAAAGTCTAGGATTGCCCTCCTGGAAAACAAGTACAAGGATGACATACAGGAAAGAGGAAACCACCCTTACCCTTGCGTATCTTTAGATTGTTAAAAGCACTTTATTATCTCTAGGTTACATTGCATCATGATATCTATCTTTATCAAATATTTGCCGAGTTTATTTTAGCTACATAGTACTATCTAATATGTAGTTTTACTTTAAAAAACGAAATATTTCTGTTTCAGAATTTCAATCGCCAGTGGCTTTAATCTTGCATTGGCTAATAAAGCTCTTAGCTTGGAAGTGATTTCTGTTATTTATGTCACTATACACTCTTGGCGGTGAATAGCTCTCAGTTTGATCCTTTTTTCAGTAACTTCCCTCTCTACGATTGCTTGATTTCTCTTGATTTACAATCTTACTGAGCCTTAGCCTTCAAAATCATTTCTAGTTCAGCAAAAATAAATAAAGCCTATAGATGTGGAGTTGAAAACCCGAAATTTGAGAAGATACTTACTTGTCGACTTGTTATTGGAAGTTTATTATAAATATCAAGGCAATTTTTAGTGCAACTTTCCAAGATATAAAGTCAGTAGCAAACCTTCTACCATTTAATGAATTGACGTAATTTTCAGGATCGCATTAATTGATATAACAATAGAATGCACCCTTCACGAAAAGTAAGCATTTCTACTTTCAAATATATGATGTGACATAGATGAAAGGAATGAACTTACAACATCAAAGAGAACTCTATAAGCATTGAGATCATGATATAGATCGCGTCCTCTGTTGGTACAGTATTCTAAAGCTTGGGCAAGGTACAAAGCAGCTCTAAGTCGCATTGGCCATTTCATAGGTTGAGTTTCCCCTAAATAATAGTGTGGACAAGAGTTTATAGAACGGTCAACTATTTTTATCAAAACAGGAGAACAATAGAAAGCTCAGTGAACTGTATTTAAGGAGATAGCATCGAACAATAGAATCATAGCCACACTTCACCATAGCATTGAAGGAACACACGAGTGGTAACAACAGAATTTCTACATTGCTAAATGAACTTGGTGGAAAATAATTATGCACTTACAGTGGAACAAATGTTTTGCCAAAGTATCGTTAGGCATGTATTCTGCAACAAGTAACCTTTCATGACCTTCACAGCAACAGCCAAGCAAATTTGCCAATTTCTGGTTCCTAAGCTGACCAACAGCTCTGGCTTCATCCTTAAGAGATAAAACGAAGTTGTTCAAAAAGCTATTAGTGAAAGCATGCTTTTTTTTTTTTTGGGTGATAGTGAAAGCATGTTTTAGTAACTATAGAATACCCGATGTGAACAAACAAAAAATTTCTAACAAAATGTTAAAAAACACCGATTAGCATTATGTGTATAAAATCCTAATATCCATGAATCTGTCATCAAGAAATTTGAGTATTTCACTATCCAGTTGCTGAAACCATGATCTTCCCTGCTCCCTCATGAAAAGGAAATGGATATAGACCCAATGTTTAAGATATAGGTCAGACAAAACTAGAAACGAAATTAAGCTGGTACCAAACATAATCTGGAAGAGCATGAATAGGCAAATGCTTAATAAAGTATTTACCCCAGAAAACTTAATAAAGCAACAAGATCAAACTCTTCACTGCTTGATCATGAAGACTCTAAGACCATGTCAAATACCACATCGTTCAAAAAGATAATCTTTGAGGAGAAGGCCGATGAGTGGTATTATTAATATCTATAACATGCTAACAAAAAAATACCCCATTATAGATGTCAAAAAGGTCATTCATTCATTTTGCCAAGGCATCCAACCATGTACCAAACAATCCAGCATCCTAGAGTGTTAGACCATGGTAATAACACACATTCGCCCAATACCCTTAGGACCTCCGGCGGAACCCCTCAGAACAAGAGCATAGGTACAGCTAAAAAGTGCCACAATAAATGCAGGAGTGAACGAAAAAGCTTTATGATGAGCACTCAAATCAAATCTGCATAGGATTGCCACATAAAATCACATGATTACCAAAAATTGCTGGGCATCAGGCCAGGCTAATCTATTAAATCGCTTTACAGCAATTTGCATTTGATTTTCAAGTTTCCCTTTATAGACCACGTTCGGAGCCTTATCTCCATGCTCGGAAACTATATTTTCCACTGCAAATCCAGACGTGGCCATCCTAAGTTGATCAATTGTGTATTGATGAAACGGCGGCAGATTATTAGCTTCATGCTCCTCTTTGTTTCCTGAGCAGAAAATTGAAACTTATGAATTGCAATTATCTGGTCTTGTCGGAGCGAGAATAAGAGAGATGAATCCCAATGAGTTACCATCAATGAGGATTTTGGGACCATTTTGCTCTGCTCCCCAGCAGCATGCCGAGAACTTGGAAAACTCACAACCCATGCCAAACCTAGCTTATATTGGCAAATAATAGTTAGTGTAGAGAGAGGCTTCGATTAAAACAAAAATTGAGCTTAGCAAATGTTCAATTGAAAGGGCCATTACATTCCCATGTAATTTGCATTAAATTGAAACCAAAACGAAAAAAATTCCCCAGCTGTTAGCTGGTTCTCTACGTTCCTCGTAAGGAAAACTGAGGTAGAATCATGAGTCCTACGCTTCTTTCAGCTTAGAGCCTTAGAGGGAGCAAAAAGTATCAACAATTCACTGTGATAGTAACTATTGAATATTCAACATCAAAGCAAGTAAAGGCAGACCTTATCGGCGAGTCTTGGATGGGTCAATTCAATTTAATGCTTCCCAAATATTATCACCGGACAATGAACTCCGAAAATAATTAGCTCTGTGCAGCTCCAAGGCACTGAGTTGTGTAAGGTGCACCAGTTCACTATGCGAATAACATAAAATCAAGCAGATGTTATTTGAACCAATCAATGAACTTGTTTAATAGTAAAAATGCTAGCAATTAGCGTGAGAGGAGTACAAATATCAAAGCAAGATTAATTGATTGATACAGATGGAGATAAGAAAACTGGAAAGTGTTGAACACCTCAACAAAATGAAGGCTTGACCCCTCGTCCACGATTCAGTCAAAAGGCAAGGAAAGTTAAAGGCCATTCTTTACTTTTCTCTGTTAATCTTATGATTGAAAATGAAAATGGTGAGTTCAGCTTCGTTGTCTGGTCGTCGCCGTATTGCTTGACTACCGAACGGCGTGCATATTCAATCCCCTTCCTTTGGCGGCCAAAAGAAAATCCGTTCATTTGATGCCTGAAACTTTTTCCTCTTTCCTACATACGTGATGCGTGAGTTATGATTTCCCTATGTTTTACTCCAGTTTAAACTTTCTAATTTAATTTTATATTTTTTTGTCAGTAAATTAATTTTGCATTCCATTTAACTGTGCATTGATAATATTTGATACCGGATTTACTTAAAAAGAATATTTTAACATATTGGATGAATAGGAAGATATCTTAAAATATTAGATGTATTTAGAAAAAACTTGAATCGACGTTAACTTAAAAAAAAAAAATCACGGGAACCTATGAATAAAAATTACTCCTCCGTTCTAATTTTGTAGTGTAATTTACATTACAAAATAAGCTTTATATTTAGAACCGGAGGAATATTACATGTCATGAGATTTTACTCGTATGAATTAATGGCAAGTTATTTATAATTGGGATAAGATTCTCAATCACTTTTTTTTTATTCTACAGATCGATTAAGAGAAACCATTGAGAACGTACAAAATCCGAAAATCGTTGTTGTTATTTATAATTGGACTAAGATTCTTAACTAATTCTTATATTTAAGACCAGATGTAGTACTTTATAGACTTAACAATATGTTTGGTATGTGGAAAATAATACTACCTCCGGTTTTTAATATAAAACTCATTTGACTTTTTTATTTTAAATATAAGATCTCAATCTACTTTGTCTCTCATATTTATCTATTTTTTTAATATATTCATTCTAATAATAGTAGTTTTAACTAATAAACGTGGTTAGTAAAGATATTTTAAAAAAATAATACCTATTTATTATAAATAATTAACTTAACTTATTTCCTTAATTTACCAAATCAGTCAATTAGTTCTTATATTTATGACTTGATATGGTAAATAAAATGTTAACACAACTTTTGTACGATATATCATAGGGATGACAATATCCTATTCTGAAATAATGTTAAGCAAGGGCATAAATACCATAAAATTGTGGGAATAATCATTTTAAAAATGCTTACATTTCCCTTCAATTTTTAATTTGATATTTGTGTTTTATTCTCTAGTTAAGTCTTTAACTTTCTTTTATTAAATACAACTAGCTCCTATGATGATTCTAGGATTCCCCATGCAAAAAAAAAAAAAAAAAGGTTGTCCTTGATCATTTTCTCTGCCTCAGGTTGGATTGGAAAGGACAAAACATAGTTAATTAATCATTTTTTCTGCCTTGTGAATCTTTGGGGTCTTTCTAGACAGAGCCAGGGGTTTTGAGAATACTGACTTTCTCATTGAGTTTCTCTTAATCCATCCTTCTTCCGCATTCATTCAGTATTGTTCTCTAAATTCGGTTTTCTAGTAACAAGTCTTTGTTTCTATTCAATTAGTCAAAACAGAACAAGCAAGCATGCGAATTAAATTGTGAAAGCAGGTAAAAGATTTTTTTTTTTTTAAGAACATAGGGCTTTTAAGTATACTGAGTGACACATCAAAAGATCTTCAAATCAATTGGTTATTCAAGTGCTATATGCTTTCTCTTTAAGACACGTCTATTTTGCAAGTTACCTCCTTGTTTGGTTGGATTCCTGTCTTTAGTTGTGTTTGATCGAGGCAGGCTAAAAAACTCATCTAATTAAAACGTAAGTACAACTCAAAATGTCCAACCCCATTACTATATAAAGTGGATGGATAGCGTCACCCTTCATCCACAAGGGGGTTCATTGGACAAGATAGGACTACGACAACCCCGTATCATGTCTCGTCTCATCTTTTGTCACATCTGAATGAGACTATACCAAGATGAGACAATATGAACATTTCTACCCTCCAAATGGATTCTCCACAAAGTATGCTTCCTCAAAAAGGTTCTCAGCTTCTTCTTCAATTGAGTCAAGGGAACCTCAAAAAGTAAACAATTCACGTGTTTTGGTACAAAATGACGTATCTCCCCTTCCCATATTTTTATCAAATGCAATATTTCCTAAATCTCTGATTCCTCTCAAATTCATAACTTGTGGATAGGTGAGGTCCTTACCTCCAATTGCTGTCAAATTCATTCTTGGTGATGAAATTGGTCAATATTAGGATAAATTGAGTATTAAGCACGTGTTAGTTTTTGTTACAGATTATAAAAGCATTACAACAGTCATATATGATTTAGTTGTAACTTAATCAATACTTGTACATTGAATAATAAGTCTATACATATAAAGCAAAAGCTTCAGTGTATGTTAAGTCATTCAGTTTATCATACTTCGATATTCTTCACTTGGTATCAAAGCTTTCAAACCTAAACATCTTAGCAAGTTCTTGAGATTGAAACAGAACCTTCTTCAGTTGTAAGTGTATTGCTTTTTCATCCATAATGGTATAAACCAATGAAAGATGAATATGGTGCACTTATTAGAAACAAAACATGGATGTTGACACCTTATACAGGCCGAGAAAGCTTAGTTGATTGCAAATGGGTATTTAAAAATAAGTATCATTCGTATGGAACTTTGCAGGGGGAAAAATGTCAATTAGTTGCAAAAGGTTTTTAATAAAGTCTAGGAATTGGCTATTACTAGACCTTCAGTCTAATAGTTAAAACATATACAGTTTGCTTTATATTATATATTGCTTTAGTTAGAGGTTGGTGCATTAATCAATTGGACATAAATAATACCTTTTTAAATAGAACTTTGAGCTGAAGTAGTTTACATGCAGTAGTCTGAAAGTTTTGTTACTCAACAAAGCCTCATTTCATCTGTAAACTTGAAAAAACTCTGTATAATCTAAAATAGACAGCTAGGCCTAGTTTGATAAACTCAAAGAAACACGGTTGAGTTGAAGATTTCAAAACCTCAAGTGTGATACTTCTCTTTTTTGGTACAAAGTTATTATCCCTTTTTAGGATGTGCGTATGCGCCATGCGGGTTGGGGGAATAATGGATTAGGGAAAAATAACAGGGGACAAATTTGTTATTTTTTTATTATCTTTTTTTTTTAATTGAGGATTTTTTTTGTGACAATGACAAAAAAAAAGTTAGAATTTTATAAATACTAAATAAAGAATATTAACAAAAATTTATTGTTATTTATAAATTCAAACCTGTCAATAATAAATAAAGTTGTGTTATCAAACTTGATTTGGAATTTTTAATTTTTAATTTTTTTCCCTTTCAATCTCTCTTTTTTTTTCTTTTGACGCAGAACGGAAATAATAAAATTGAGGATTTAAAATTGAGTTTGGATGTCAAATTTTCGTGTCTGGGGAAAAACTTGCATCACCTGCAAAGCGGCAACAGGGTTTGATAGCGCGCGCTCTGAAGCCTCAGTGAGCTGTCTCTGAAGCTTCCCAAGCTTGTCTGCGGCGGTGCTACTCCTGGCCGTGGAAGAGTGCCGCCGCTGCGTGCCTTTGCTCCTCGTGGAAGACTCCATCGCAAGCGCATATGCGGTTCCGACTTCTGCGATCTCAAGACTCAAGGTTCTTCTCTTCGTTCGGTTTTTCCCCCCTTTTCTTACCTTTCGTCTATTGCAAGAGGCTTAGTGATCGGTCATTATGTTTTATTTTGAGCTGAAAAGATGATTCTGTATCTCCATCACGAGAACTATGAAACACAAGTCTCCTGTGAATGGCGTCTGAGTTTCGACTCTCGGAGATATCATTTAATAAGCTCTGTAACTTATTTCGCGGTTCTATTCTTATATTCTCATGCGCTGCCTCACTGCCTATGTGAAGGCTATCAAACAAGTTTTGAAGCTTATGGTTTTCATTGTTTGGACATTCCTTAGATGAGGTTTGTGAGGCCATACCAATTGTTTCTTAATACGATGGAGACTAAGGGGAAACGTGGGCGGTTGCTTGGTTTAGATGTTGGCGATAAATATGTTGGGATTGCTGTTTCGGACCCTGGTAATAAAATTGCCTCTCCTCTCAGGTAGGAAACCTCTCACACCCGTGGTTGTAGCCTTGTAGGATTGAGCTATGCCTCCGAAGCGTAATTAGCAATTATTAGCTTATTCTATAACTTAGCGCAACATTTGGTAACTGTATGCTTGTTCCACTTGCGGTTATAAATAAAATGTAAGTATTGAAAAACATTGGTTTAATAGTCTTGGGCTCCAGCTTAGTTTAGTATCATGTGATTACAAAGATATGTCATATCATAGCAATAGCATTTTAAAAAGTTGGTAAAAAAAAAAACAAAGAATGAATGAATTTACGCTGAGGAGAGATAAATTTGAAGTTCCTTGATGTTTGCTGTATTATCCAGGCTTGCCAAAGCATTTCATATCAATTTGTATCGACGTCATCTGGGCTGTTCAACAATTATGTTTTTCTCATTATCTTTATGCCGCCAGAGTTTTTTTTTTTTTGGCCTGAATGCTGCCAGAGTTATTTGAGTATATGGCTTGAAGTCTGCTTTGACATGTAATCTACTAATTGGTCTTTTATTTTATTTTATTTTTTTAGAATATGGGAGAAGCCTACAGGGTAGCAATTTCAGCTGTCCTCTCTTGAAGTTGAAAGCCTGTTCTGTATTTTTAGTGCTGCCTGTGTAATTTTAGTTTGGAAATTGTCACTTACTGACATTTTACCCTTCAGCAAATAAATAGCATTGGCATCATAAGGGCTGAATTAATGCAAGCACTAATCAGTTTTAATAATAGATGGTCAAATTTATTCTTCTGCAGCACTTGACATGTAGTGCTTGGTTCTCATGGCCTTGCTATTAATTCTTGTACATGTTTTTTATCGTCAGTGTAAATTTTCCATTCTATTTTTGTCATATGTTTATTAAATAAAATGTATTTTTTTATGCCACAGTGTTCTTGTCAGGAAAAAGACAAATATTGATTTAATGGCCTCTGATTTTAATGTATTGGTGAGCTTGTTTTATCTCTTGCTTCTGATTACATTTATACCGTCTTCTTGTATCTGTAGGAAGTATGTTAGGAGAACCCTTCTGGTTCTTGAGTTGAAAGATATGATAAATCTTAATGGAAACGGTTTTTTTTTTTTTTTGAAAAAATAAATAAATAAAGAGCAATGTAACCAACGGTGTTATTCTCATGTTGTTACTCAAAACCTGGAATTACCTGAAAGGTACTTCACTTATTGTTAACTCCTTCTTCAGTTTCTTTTTTCATTCTCATGTTGGTACTTGTCAATAGTGAAAAGTGAAACTTTATGTCAAATACATGTGTTCGTTTATACATTAGCTTTATCATTTAGGAGTACTTCTTTTATTTTTTTGCAATTTCATCCATCAAATTGAGCTCATTTGGTCACTTTCTCGGTTGTGGTTTCTCCCGTGCTGCCCACTTGATAAGCTTGATCTAGCTTGATATCTATGTCACTTTACACTCTTCTGAATTGTCTCATGATAATTGACTTAAGCTTTTTTTACGGTAATGAAACATTTTCAGTTTCAGCAGAGCCTTAGGGCGATATAAGTCTTCATTCTCCCAGCACCCATGGCCCATTTCCTACCCATGTTCTCCTTATTTAAATTTTTATATGCTCAATTTTTTTGTCTAGTAATGACTTTATCCTTTCATATTATGTTATACCCCTTTCATAGACATTTTATCAATGATGAGGTTTGCTTCTTTTGGGACTAGGCACAAAATTATGCTGTGAAGGGGGACTCTTCTATATTCTCGCATGCAGCATATTTTTCCTTCAATATTAGTTGGCTCATGCCTTTGTTATAATTTAATAATAGTCTTTTTTTATGGCTACTAGATGCAACAACATACATTCAAATGGGCAATATATTTCCGTTAACTTGTGGTGCATGCTTGCTTCCAGAGATTTGAAACCATAATTATAATCATGTTGGAATGCAGATTTCTAATTTTTCTTTGAATGGCTTTGTCGTTGGTGTTCCATTTGATAGGCAACGAGTTCATTCTGAGGTGAGTCTTATTTATTAAATCATTTTTGTACGATAGATTATTGCACTTCCCCTTATTATAATATATTCATACTTCTCGTCAGGCTGTACAAGTAAAGGCCTTCATTGATGAGCTCAGTAGAACGGGAAAGCTTGAAGGTCTACAATTTACATATTGGAATGAGTGCTTCACGTCAAAGGTGAATACACGTGGCTGCTATAATATCTGAGTATGAAATAAAAATTACAAATTTTGGAGAAGGAACTTGGTTTAGCCAAATATCTATTTTGAGTTAGATGAAGCAAGCTCCAATTTTGAGTTTTATTTTAATTTGCTTCTTCCTGTTTATACTTTTATTGCAATAAAAGGAGATGCAAGAAATCTGAAGTTAAATTGTGTTTGCAGAATGTAGAGTTGCTTCTAAAGGATTTGGATATAAATCCAGTTCAGTCCAAGACTATGCTTGACAAGTTTGCTGCTGTTGGAATACTTCAGGTAAAGCTTTTTTTGATTTGCTTTCTGACATCTTGTCTTTCATAAGCAATAAACTATAGGGACTAATAGACAAAAGCAACTAGCAGAAAGAAATCTGGTTTATGTGGATCTCCCCCTCCAAAGAACTCACTCACTCACATGCGAGAAATATATGTGTGTGTGTGTGTGTGTAAAACAGAGTGCATATACCTTTTAGGAATTATAGCCTTATTACAAATTCAGCATACAAATTTTAAAATGTTAACTTTTCCTCTTAAACTTGCACAAAAGAGGGGAAAGTCCCATATTATCTGTCGACAGTTTTGGAAAACCCAGATACTGGCCAATGCAACCAAAGAACCAGTCGAATTGAGCTGGTTGAAACTGAACTCATGTCATTCATGAGTAAACTTTTTCTGAATTTTCTTCTGAAGAATCTTTCTTATAGAACAGAAAATTCATTTTGGACAGATCTTAAAAATAGTAATAGGGGGCAGTAGGCCAAGGGGGGTTTTTAATGGAAAAAATTTAAAGGAAATTTTTCTTTTTTGGGGGAGGGGGTTGGGGGGCAAATGGCCTACACTTTACCATCTTTGGTACTTGCTTTGAATCATTTTCTCTTTTGGTAGCATCTCTTTCTGGTGTTTTTCAAAATTATGCATTTCTCTTCTGTCTGGTTCTGTTTTTCCCCCGTTTGTCAATGCTTAGACAATAATATTGACAATGGTTAATTTTTCCCCACTTGATAGATGAATTTATCTAATTAATTACTTTTAAGCAGTTCGAAATGAGATCCCAAGATATTGCCTTTTTAAACTTGCCCTTGTTTTTCCTTAAAAAGTTTAATTTCAAGCTCTTCAACCTTCGTACCTGTTTGCCTGCTGCATGTCAGTCTTTTTAAAGATGAACTTCCATTGTTGGATTATTTAAAATCCGCTTGAATGTTGATGTTGGTAATTTTTTAGGGGTACCTGGACTTTGCTAATAGAAAAATGAAGCAGGAAGTCAAAGAAGAACTCGCCAAATAAGGGAGCGCTTTCAAGCATTTTCAATCTTGCGATATAAATTTTTACATGATTGTAACTTGTCCAAACGCTTTTGTTTTTTGTTATCCTTGTGTATACTTGTTTAAAGCGTTTTTTTTTTCCTTAGCTAAATTAGTTTATTTTTTCGTGCGTCATGCAAAATTGAACCCTGAACCTCGTTACTTTCAACCCATCCTTAACACCACTAAATAAGTTCTTCTTTGAACCAACAAATGAACAAAGGGATCACCCATCTCTTGTTTGTAACGAAAATTAATTTGGTATGGGGATAAAAATATAAATTGAAGGAAATGATTGCTTTTGATTTTGATATGATATAAAAAGTGTGAATGCGAGCCCACTTTTTTTTAATATAAAAATTATATAACTAATTTGTGAATATTAATTAAATTAATTTAGTTATTTGTAATAAATATGTGTTAATTTTTTTCAACTATCCTATTTAATTATTTGGCTTTGTCTTCTAAATTTAAAAAGCCCAAGAAAATATCGGGGGAAGACAATTTCATGTGCGCTGCTTTATTCTTGCCTAAACAGTACTGAAAAGGTAAAAAGTTTGGCTTCGTATCAATACAAGCTATGGACTTTCCCTTGTTACTGTTCATCTTTTCATTGAGTCTAACAACCCTTGCCTGCTAATCAGATGTTACAGAAAGTTTTTTTTTTTTTTTTTTTTACTTTTCTTTTTAACTGCTGCGTTTTGGTATCGGCATGTGAAATCAGGATCAACGTATTGCCCTTTAGAACCTGCCACCAATCCTGGTGCTACAGCGACATTGTGTGTAGTGGCAGTCGTGCTGTGCGCATGATAGCATAGAACTTGACATATCCTCTAGATTTACACTCCTCTGGTCTATAACGGGGAAGAAAATTTTTGGTTTTATTTATAAGATAAATAGAGAAAATTTTTATATGAATGTATAATTTTATTCTTTATTTATTATTGTGTTGATTTTGTTTCTTATATAGTATGTGGTATATTAAATAAGAATAAAGTTAAAAGTCGTTGAATTTTAAATGAATTAATAAAATTTAATGTTTTTATTATTCTGTGCGAAACATATTGAAAATGATTTATAAATAGGATCGGAAGAGTATGTGTTAATATTGATTCGTGATGCAATTACTTTTTTTTTTTAAATTTAATTCTTAACTGTTCTTTGTATGAAATTCTCTTAATTATTTTTCTTTTTCTTTCTTTTCTATTTAGGCTAGGACTTGATGTATTAACCCTTGGTTTATTTATATAATCTTTTGTTTGAAAAAGGGCTCATAATACTTTGATCAATTTTTTTTTTTAACAAAAACTGAAAATTAAAGATTTTAATATAGCTGTTTTATAAGTTAAAATGTGTTTAGCATCACGAAATATTTTCTTAGGTGCATCCAGATACATTTAGCACCTTAGAGTATTTTTCATGTGCGTATAACATCCTGGAGTTTTTTTTTTGTCTTGTTGGTTAATGCACCAAAAAATATTTTAAAATGTTGGATGCACTTAAAAAATATTGTAGGATGTTGGATGTTTTAAAAAATATTTTAAAGTGTTACGTACTAAATATTTTAAAGTGTTAGATGCATAATAAAATATTTTAAAATACTGAATACACTAAAAAATACGTTGGGTGCTGAATTTGCCTCGTATTATTGAAATATTGATCAATTTGTTATTTTTCTTTTTCCTTCAAATCATTATGTTTATCCATACATTTAAACATAAGATATTGTTGACATACTAATTAATTAAATCTAAAATATTTTTAACGTCATATTAAATTTTTCTTTAAAAATAATATTTTTTAATTAAAAATAAATTATCAACTTATAATAAATTTTATATTTTTTGTTGTATTTTATATTCTTTTCAATCTAATGATCTGTGCATCGGCCAAACAGTTCTCAAGTCTTGACTCGATAAAAAGCTCCTTTTTTTTTTCCGGCGCACAAAAGCACATGTTTTCAATTCACTCCTGCTTCTCTAGTTCCGCCTTCCTCTGTCTTTTCCTTTCATACTCTTTGCTTTTCCCTCTTCTGCATTCTCTTGTAAAAGCCCTAGCTAGATTTTTAATTTAGGGTTTTGTTTTCTCGATGTGTTTGTGCATCATTTAGGAACTGCCGGCTTACTGGCTTGAGTTATGTTGATTGTGTGTCACCATGAGCCTCTGATTTTTCTGCATTTCTGCCCCATTGTCAGCTTTAGTCGTGGGTTTCTAAGGGCGAAACTGTTTGAGCCCTGAAATCTTTTCTCTGGTTTCTTCTCTGGCTTTGAAGTCTCTGTTACGGGTTATCTAGACATCTCTCTAAACAGAACCCTCACAAAACTCTGGTTTTTAGCATACATTTGATAAAATCTGAGCTTCTTAATTGAATATCTGGGTTTAGTGGGTCTTAGATCTTTTTGTTTTACTCTTTGCTTTGTGATTATAAATTTAATTTTCTCAGGGATAGTGGTAGCTTTTAACAGCATTAGGAGAAATCCTGGGAAAATCCCTGTTATATATCTTCTGCTTCAACCGAGTTCTCATTAATAGCTCAATAAGTTTGAGTCTTCTAGTAGATTTGGGAGCAAAAACAGTGTATTGGTCACAAATCTATTAGTAGATGCATGGATGGGAGAGAAGCTATGGCATTCTCTGGAGGCCCCCCTTCATATTACATGCATAGAGGAGGCATTGCCGGGCCTGTCTCTGGAATACATTCCGGAGGGTTTCAAGTGCCTCCTGGGTTCAGACCAAACACTGGCATTCCAGCACAGTCTAATGTACGAGCTAGCTCTATGGGTTCTACTGTTACAGTAGAACCTGCTCGTCCTAATTATAGTCATAGTCATGGCATTAGCGTTAGTTCGTCTCCTGGAGCACCTCCTTCGAGCGAGCGTGTGAAAAAGAAACGAGGAAGGCCTCGTAAATACCGTCCCGATGGAACCGTTTCACTGGGTCTGTCTCCCATGTCTGCCCCTGCAAATTCTACCCTCGCGTCGAGCACTCCATCCCAGAAACGAGCTAGAGGTCGCCCGCCCGGAAGTGGAAGGAAACAACAACTAGCCTCGCTAGGTATATTTTGAGAGAATTATTGTACATGCAAATATTCTTTGGAGATGGCTCATATACGATCCATTATTTTTGGGCTGTATTTGTTATTCCATTCTATTATTATTTTTTCATTTTTCTCTATTCTTTGCAACAACTCTGTTTGTGTTGTTTGAGTGGCCTGGGCCTGATCCTCACTAGTTAATTTGAGGTATTTTTGTGGAAATAAGTAGCTATCTTCATGATTTTGAATGCTAAGCTGCTTGTTCCAACTATGCTTAGTCGCTTAGCAATTCATGGTTTCAGTTTTAGATTTAAGAACCATGAAAAATTTGACACTGAAGTCTTCGATTTTCCCCTTTCAAATTTGTGCAAATGTTTCTTGATCTTGGTGGTAGTTCATGGTAACGAGTAATATCCCTATCCATTCTTTTGAGATGTGCGGATTTTTAAAATTTTAATTTTAATATTTGTGCTTCTAGGTGAATGGATGAACAGTTCTGCAGGGATGGCTTTTGCTCCTCATGTTATCACGATTGGAGCTGGAGAGGTAGTTAAACTTTTGCACTTTGTACATGTTTACAATTGGGTTATTCTATTTAGAAAAGCTGCTCAAAGTAATTTGGAGAAATTGGCTATTCAAACATGTAACGTGTTACTTGCTGATTGCATGCAACACAGGTAATGCTCAAGGGAAACCTCTTAAACAAATCTCAGTTTTTAAGTGATTATTATGCTATTCACCATGGGACACATTGGAGATTGTTTCTTTGTGGCACACATTAGTTGGGAAGTTACTCAAATAATAGTTTGACTTCTTTCAGGACATTGTAGCGAAGTTATTGTCCATCTCACGGCAGAGACCTAGGGCGCTCTGCATCTTGTCTGGTACTGGGACAGTTTCATCAGTTACTCTGCGGCAGCCTGCTTCTACTGCTGTCAGTATCACTCTTGAGGTTAGAACACTAAACCATGCTACTTAAATCTGTCTCTCTGTTTAAGCATATAGTATGAGCGCAGAGACATTATGCAGAAGTATCCATGAAAGAGCACATAGCACTTGGAAGCTTCTTGTTTTTTTTTTTTTTGGCTCTTATATGTCCTGGAAGTTTATTTTCATAGCAAGAATATGTTGGCGGTTATCCACCATTAAGTTTGATTGTTAAATCATGCAGTTTGACTAGTGTTTTTAATAGTCAAACTTAATGATGGATAATTACTCAAGACAGAAATGCTACGAAATAAAATTTTTAGGATATATAAAAGCTAAAAAAAACTTCTAGGTATTGGGTGCTCTTTTGTGGATACTTCTGGGTACTTAAACCTTATTCGTTTCTAAAAATGCCTCATAAATCTTCTTGATGTATGGGTACCTCCTTTAAAACATGGAACTCCTGAAATTCATCATTATTTGGTCTTAATTTTAACTCCACGGGGAAAATGTGTTCTGTCAGTCTCTGATTCCTCCTTCCCTTTCACCCCAGTTTTATTTAATTTTTGTGGGATTGTGAAGTAGCTGCCGCTGCACTATTTTCTGTGAATTTTTTTGGGTAAATCTATATGTGTTGTTTTTATCTATCCACTGCATTAGAGATCTCGTGGCAGGAAACCATGGATACATGCTATTTTGGATTTGCTGTATTAAGTGAGTTAGTTATGTAATGGTTCTGTATTGGTTTAAGAGATAACGATAGGTTTTAGATGGCTAAAAAATGAACCACTGACTGCAAGCCATTTTTGAACTGTCTTAAAATGTTTCAGTTGAATGTTCACTAGATCATATCAATTACATTGGCATTGTTTTGAGTGCAAATTATGTTTTTCATAATGCCTTCCAAGATTTATTCATATTCTTACCATTGCAGGGCCGATTCCAAATATTACGCTTGTCTGGTTCTTACCTGGTTGCCGAAGACGGTGGACACCGCAATAGAACTGGTGGTGTGAGTGTTTCCCTTGCCAGTCCTGAAGGTCATGTTATTGGTGGTGGGGTTGCTGTGCTTATTGCTGCAAGCCAAGTGCAGGTATACCCTCGTCCACCCTAGATTCAACCCATGAGAACGTTTTGTTCCTGTTTGATCCTTTTTGCATACTTGGTCATGCTCTTATGGCTAGGCGTGGTGCTATCTATTCATGCATACATCATTTCCCCATTTCATCTTGTACATCATACTTTATAGGACGCTTTACATTTAAACCACAACAGTAAGAATTCTTTTTTTTTTTTTTTTTAACTAACTTTGCAAAGCTGGGAATAGAAAGGTAGCTTATGTTCCTATAATGAGAAACCCTTTGATGCAGGTGGTAGTGTGCAGTTTTATTTATGAAGGGTCCAAGACCAAGCAAGGGAGTGCCTCTCAGGGCGATGCTTCTGAAGCTGAGCATGACAAGTTAGCTACCCCGGCAAGTGCTCCGCCATCTCAAAACTACAGTCAACCATCAAGAGGCATTTGGCCATCTGATCTAAAAAGTACACATACTGGTATTGACTTGATGCATGGATAAAATATTTAGTTTTGAATGGACATTGCAGTTTTGTATAGTACGCAGATATATAACTTGTGTGTCGTTTGTAAATGAACTGAATTTACGAGCATTGTATTAAGCTATGGATGATTGCCAGGTTTGCGCTAACGATTTATTGCTGTAACAGATCCATTATTTTCAGGGTTCATTCACTGTATGGTAAGCATTAGACGGATTCAAATATTTATTTGAGTGAAAACTATGTTGGCTGGAAAGTTCTTGGATTCTACTTTGATGGGGATACCATTTTGAAATTCCTACTGTGAAAAGTCATTTCTGCCGCTAGCGGTTTGATGTTGAGATCAATTATTAGGCTTTCATTGAACTGCTCTCTGCAATCTTGTCCTTGATTGGACAAAGACATCACATACTTTAAAGTTGCCAGACCAATATGATATTATTGCAGAATACAAGTTGACTTTCGGAGAGAACTTTTCACCTAAATAACAATCCTAGTCTCACTTTTCATCAATTCATACTTTTTATTTTTTAACAATTTAATTCGTTGGAATAATTATGAAAACAATTTATCCTTTTCGTCATTAAAATTATATCAATATTTAAGATTAACATGGAAAGTAATTAGTTTCCTTAGAGGGTAAAAGAATGCCAAGGAAATAGTTCAGATGGTAGTTTATGCACCAGATCAATAGAAACGTCTTCGGTAGCATAATTGAGGGGTTACTCGTAGTTATCTCTCTGTTTTTTCTACTTTGGCCAGAAGGAAGATTCTTCAACAGTAAATTTCTTTTAAAGTACCCTTGTTTGTAAATTTGTTTCAGAAATTCTTATTTAGAAGTGATAGGCGCCCAAAAGTTTTTTTAGAGCAAATTTGTTTCGAAAGTTTAAAATCATAACAAAATTACTTCCTCTGTTAAAAATATTAATGATTAGCATTACTATATTAATAGTTAATCTTAGTTTTTTAATGATAAAAGAAAATATACTGAAATTTTAAACTTCGGTGACAAGTTTGCTTTCAAAGACATTTTCATTGGTCAATATTCTTATGTAAAAAATTCCAAGGCAAAATGTTTTTTAATCTTTGCTTCTTTTGTAAGAACTTTTGATTTCTAGTGTCTTTAATAGGCTTAAACTTTTTTATTTGACTATGGATGACGGGATGCATTGGACCAAAAACAATTTGGTGGGATGGAGGGTGGTGGAACTTGAGACGTCTATTTTTTTTTAAAAAATTATAATAAGGTTTTAAGGAAGGAAAAAAAATTAAAAACAAGTTCTAAAAGTTGTCATTCTGTACTCTAGAACTTGTTATTATGAACTGCAATTGCTTACGTTGTTATTAGAACTTTTTAATAATTATTTCTCTTCTTTAGGATTTGATTGTAATTCTCCCATTTTTTAAAGTTTTTTAATTTTTTAATTTTTTTTTTAATTTGGTGCTTTTGCTTCTTAAGTTCATATAAAGCAGAAACCTCTGCAATTTCTCATGTTATTCTCGGACAGATTCTTCTCACACGACAAGACCATGTGCTATTATGAGAGTAAATTTCTTAGGCACTCTGCAATAGATATGAACGTTCCTTGAAACCCTTTTTTCAAATGGACTAAATTCAACACACATCATTTATAGCTAAAGGATTCTAAGTCCTTATTTAGTACGCGTAATACGCCGCATCTGAGGATAAACAAGTTTCTTTTTCAAGTAAACAAATTTAATACACAACATACAGGGAAAAACCAAGAGCTCTTCGTCATATGAGGTGCTTGACAATTTATATAATACCCACAATCTTTTCGATGTCCCGCTGCAATAAAAGACAGACCACAAGAATTGTGAAAAGCTAAAAAACATTCTTTAAGAGATATCGGTCAGTAAATAACAAACAGGTAACTTATGGATGATCTTTTTAAAAGGGTATTTGGATGGAACCAAATCATGATTTCAAAAGTACTTTTACGATTTACAAAGTAAATATGTGGAGGAGTTTATCTCGTTTTGCAGAAAAGTACTTCTGAGAAGCACTTTTGAAACTTGCCAAACACTCCCTAAGTTATGAAATAGGAATTTTATGTAGAGATCAAAGGTTTTTAATTTTTTTGTTTTTTATTTACCTCAAGGCTGAGAGGAGAAGTTGTGGGATAATAGCGACCCACGGCCTGGCCGTTCTTGTCAACTAGAAATTTGGCGAAGTTCCACTGGACATCATCGCCAATAATTCCCCATAGGCACGACTTTAAGAACTTGTACACTGGGGCAGTATTGTCGCCATTCACTTCAATCTAATCCAAAATCAACAGGACTTGCTTATATAATCCAGTACAGGTACCATTTTTTGGAAGTTGCAGAAATTAATAATGATACTGACTCCCCACACCATCTAGCTAAATATATAAGTGACGTTCAAGTTCCTGGCTGGGCAGGGTAAAGCAGTTCAGAACAATTAGTGTCATGCTTAATGTTAAGCCTTCCCAATACAGTTTTTTGAATGAAACGCAGCACCAGTTAGGACATAACGAACAGTAGAACGCAAACCAAGACATTTAGTGATTCATGGCTGTTGTTTATAGTAGTCTATTCGTCACTGCAAAAACATAATTGACCCAGAGGGTAATAGCAAGCATTGCAAAAACTGCACAAAAATGTAACCATAGAGTTTTAGACCCTGAAACGCCCAAGAAATATGGACATAATCAGCTTTCCTGTATTGTAAGGACCTACCTTATCAAAGATGGGGAATTCTGATTTGAAGCGAGTGCAGACAAAATCCACGATTTCATCATTGGTTCCAGGTTCTTGTGCACCAAACTGATTGCATGGAAATCCCAGTATCTCGAGACCTAAATGAACCCTTACAAACCCGTCATTTGCATTGATCATGTTACAAAAAAACCATTAAAAGGCACAAGAATGACATATATGAACGAACCAACCAAAGAGTTTAAGGCACAAACCTTTATCTTTATACTTCTCATATAATTGATTCAGCTCCGTATAATTCGAGTCGGTTAAGCCACTGCCTCCATCCCAAACAATGAACAAGAATAGTAAGCTAAAGAAGACTAGAAACTAGACGCCACAGCTTCAAGTGTAATGTAAGGCATAATCAAAAGACGTGAGGAGGAAGCAAAGAACAAGCAGCAGCGAACCATTTGGAAGCAACATTGACAATCAGCAGGACTTTTCCTTTGTAAGTAGAAAGGTCAACATCATTTCCCTTAGCATCCTGCAAGGGAGCATAAAGAATGGCAACAAAATTTAACCATCACATTTTCATATGATGTTTATTTACCTAATACAGATATCAACATCTTCGATCTAGTTAAAGTTTCATACAATGATTTATAACATGCATATCTGCTCAGGATATGCAATTCAATTAAGCTTTAAGTTTGCAGCCATATTCAAATGATTTGTTAACCTTAACAAATTTTTCAGAAAAACAGAAATGGCCATCGGACTGCTAGATTCTTTAATTGGGAAAGCATGTAAAATTTTTATCATGGAAATCCCAAATTCAAGGGTATCATCATTCAGAAAGAGAGACCCGCGAAGAAGTTCAAATTGAAGATGTAAGATTAACGGGTCGGTCAATCCAAGCAAAGCCAAGACATAAGCAAGAGTATAGGAATAACGGGATAGCTAAACTAAAAGACCAACCTTGACGACAAAATCGTACACGGATTTTGGATTAGTGGCTTCGGTAGTCATAGCGTGCAGACGAAGAACACAAAAACTAGAGGGAACCTAAAAAGGCCGAAACCAATCAATGAGCCAAGATGCAGGTACGTGGCTTATATATGAGCATGAATGTTCCCTATGAGATTCCCACGAGAATAAGGCTGATGCTTCGATGGGCCAGGATGACTGATGAGGATCATCACTAGTGAAGGGCATTCGGTTGCTCACTTACTCTCGTGATAACCAAGGTTTGGTTCCTGAATTACCTGTCAACGACCACCGACTGATTGGATTAAAATTAATGTAGATGGGGCCAGTTCCTTATCATCTAATAACGCTAGCTGCGGGGGTGTTGTAATGGAATGTGGCTTGCTGGATTCTATCAGATTCTTTAGGCCCTTTTGGTAGGAAGAATTGAAGAATTGATTGGAATGGAAAGGAATGTATTATATCTAGACAGAAGGATTCTTTGGCAGACGCACTCGCTAAGCATGGCTTCTCCTCTTCCAACCTATGGGTTTCTTGTCCTTCGTTCCTTCAATCCTTGGTGGATAAAGAAGCTTTTACTCCGAGTTCTTTGATAGGGTAGTCTTTTAGTTTGTGTTTTTGGGGGGAAAGTGATATTTACTTTAGGGGGGAAAATGTTTTGACATCATTGAACCACTGTTTCTCGCTCAAGAGTCTGAAAATTTAGAAAAATGTGGATTATTCAGGATTGTAATTTATTTGGAAATAATATGTGCTTTAACGATGCTCAAAGAGATACAAATTTTTACTATATTTTTAACATTAAAAGAAAAAAATAAAATATAACATAGGATTAAGAAAATAGAATATCATCTTAGACGTTAACAACTAGTTGTCCCAGCAGCAATACTACCTATTATATTGGATGATCTTAAATATAACATTAGCATGTTTATATGTATGGCATAAAATGAAATTAAAAAAAAGCATTGTAAAAATAAGATGAGTCTCAAAAACAATCAACGAGGCAAGGTGCCGGTTCTAGATTATATGAGGGCAAAAACCGAAAAAAGGTTTGCGGATTACACACGAGTGTGATAATTCCCTAATAGACCCCATCTAAATAAGGTTAATTAATGCATTGTCATACCATTTCTTATTATTAAAAAGAACGTCTCTTTAGAAGAACATGAGTAGGTGGTACCACAATTTTTTTTTGGGCAACAGACGGTACATTGGTACCACAATTGATGTTATGTACCAACTGCTCACGATCATTATAGAGAATTTATCATTAAAAACATGTAGCTGATTTACCAACTACCTAAATTTAATACACGCGTCAACTTCGACTTAGTAATCAAAATTAAATCACATGATTTGATTTTATGAACGTTATCATATTATTCCAAGCTGTCACTTATTTCAATGTCTTCAACTCCCCATTACACGGGGCGAGTTTGAGATGCACACATGTTTTGACTTCAATTGACCATTTCGTCATGTCCTAAGCCTCGGAGCAAATTTGGGAAATTTGGAGTATCTTGGGTTTTTATTTATTTTCGATACGCATACTGAACAGAAGAAACCATACAATTTAATAAGTCACGGATATGTAATTCCCGGATCATAATATCAAACATTAGATAAGGCATCCCTGCATCCAACAATTTCTGTTTGTCCCAAAACCATTCCTCCCAAGGTGTGAATGAATGCCAGATTTCTCTCTCTTAAACGAAATAGATATTGATGTTCTTCTTCTTTTCTTTTTGTTTCATTTTAGAAAGCAGAAACTTCTGTTGTTTTGGAGCCTCTCATGGCATGATGCTGTTCTCCAAGAGATTCAATTCTCACTTGGTAGGCAAGATCATTTACTGCTGTTAAAGCAGACTGTCAAGGCACTAGCATTTCATTATCTGCATATCCCCTAGCAGTCCAATTTTCAATAATAATAATAATAATAATAATAATAATAATAATAATAATAATATTAATATTAATATTAATATAAGCTTGATTAAAAATTCTACACGCACAAATCACTTATAGCCGAAGGATTTGAACCCAGGTACTGATCTACTAAACATCATACTGCTGCGTGCGGGGATAAACATGTTTCTCTTTTCCAGGCGACCCGAGAATTCATCATCACATTTGTTTACAAGCTTAAGTTCACCATGGGCTCTTTTCAAGCTGTATCCTTGCATTCATAAGATACCAAGTAGCTTTTTGATGTCTCGCTGCCAAACCACACAGATGCCTCAAGAATTATGAAAAATGGGAAGAACAACAAACATAGGCAGCTTGTGAACGATCAGTTTGAGTAATGAAACTTAAGAACATATGCAATAAATACTTGGGCTTTACCTCAAGGCTAAGAGGAGAAGTGGTGGGATAATAGCGATCTACGGCTTGACCGTTCTTGTCAACTAGAAACTTGGCGAAGTTCCACTGAATATCATCCCCAATAATTCCCCACTTGCCTGTCTTCAAGAACTTGTACAGTGGAGCAGCATTCTCACCATTCACTTCAATCTAACCCAAACACATTAGACAACATGATTATGTCACATTTAGAAGTTGCAGAAATTAACATAGGGAACTCGCCTATATACTTCCTCCGGCTAACTACAACTAGTCAGGTGACGTTAAAATCCGTAGTTGTGCAGGATAAAGCAGTTTCAGAACAATTAGTGTGATCTTAAGGCTATGTTTTCCCAATACCATTTTTTGAATGAAATACAGGAGCGGTTAGGACAGAAACAGACAGTAGAAAGATAGAGCACAATATGCCCGTTATTTATGCGAGTTTTTTGGTCACAACAAACATAACTGATGCATAGGGTAATGGCAAGCACTTGACAAACTCGATAAAGAAAATAAAATTTTAGACCTTGGAAATGGAATGTGCAAGAATTGCAGAGACTTTATATGTGGACATACCTTATCAAAGATGGGAAATTCTGATTTGAAGCGAGTGCAAACAAACTCTGTAATTTGATCATTGGTACCAGGTTCTTCCTCACCAAACTGATTGCATGGAAACGCCAGTATCTCCAGGCCTAAACAAACGTTTATAACCCACTATCGTTTCTATTGATTAAATGTGTTATAGAACACTTGAAAGAAACAGTGATTATCAAGGTGACGGATTTTAATATCAGTGTCTAAAAAGGGCTCCTCCTTTAGGGATAAGAAAATGGTTTTATACAATCACAAATCGTACAAGTGACTCTAGATGGATATCAAAATTTGTTACAAGAACTTTGGGCACGAGATATATTATTCAACAACCCCAACGTGGCTTTGACAATTATAATGCCAGAACTTGGAGATTCTGATATATCTCAGACTTCCTAATTAAGATTTTAGGTATTTAAAAAAATCAGTTTGTTTACCATTTTACCGACCCAGCCATTACAGAAAAGCGTCCTGATTCCTGACAAAGAAAGGACTAACGCGCAACCTCGAGATGATTTGGAGCAGAAAAACACAGCAGTAAGAAGAGATGAAATTAATTAGTCGAGTTTCCACATTAAATTAAACGGCACTTGTAGATTGTGAGTTCAATAAATTACTTCCTTTTCACTTGTATGATTGTGCTGGTCTGAGATACCATAAAAGAAACAACAGTGTTCAAACTACAAACCTTTATCTTTATACTTCTCATATAATTGATTCAACTCCATATAGTTTGAGTTGGTCATGCCACTGCCACAATCCCAAACAACAAGAATAATAAGATATAGATTACTAGAAACAAGATATCATAGCTTCAGAGTACCAAAAATAAAAAATTAAAAAGAGAGGCTAAGCACTGAAAAAAAATACTATAGCTTCAAAAGGATACAAGGCGTAATCAAAAGACACGAGGGAGGAGAATTATGATAAGTTAATGCAAGCATCTATACCATTTGGAAGCAACATTGACGATCAGCAGGACTTTTCCATTGTACGCAGCAAGGTCAACATCATTGCCCTTAGCATCCTGCAAGCAAACATGAAGAATGGCAACCACATTTAAGAATTAACGTACGGGAACTTCAAAACATGCCCACGTGATCAAGACAAACTTCTTAGTCTGCTGCCATATCTTAATGACTTAGTAACCTCAGCAACTACTTCAGAAAGACATCAATGTCCACTAGATTGCAAGATTCTTTAATTGAGAAAACCATGAAAATGTTATCACGGAAACCCAGAAAAAAAAAAGGGTCCACGCACTCAAACGTTCGCAGTGGGAGGGATGTTTCAGTGAAGAAACCCATATTGAAACCCCCTTTATCTCCAGAAACAAGTTACTTGGTTTCAAACTAACGAAGAAGAGCGTTGATCCAATAACAAAACAATAAACAAGATAGGGTTGGCCAATAACACATCGTGGAACTATAGATCATCCTTCTTTTATCATACTCCATAGTCAGTACCATAAAGTGCCATAGTCAATACCATAGAGTGAAAGCATAGACAGTTGGCAAAAAAAGAAAGAAGGAAAGCATAGACAGATGGGCCATCATTGAGTGACTAAATCATCATAAGAATCCAGAGAAGACCAACCTTGACGACAAAATCGTACACAGACTTTGGATTAGAGGGTTGGGTAGTCATCGCGCGCAACTGCAGAACGCAGGAAAATCAGAGAAACTCAACTACACTCGACGAGTTGAGGAGGACGCGCATGCCTTATGGGTTCAAATATGAGCCATTAGACGGATCCTGAGCCTTGCAACCTTGTTAAGCGGTCCGACGTGGGCGGATTCGGTTCGGTCCATTTGCAGGGACAGATTCAACGCTGCTGCTGTATCCACCCCCCCCCCTTTTTTTAAAAGCAAGACACATGCATCTTTTTTTCTCAATAAGCATGACCCATACTTCTTTTTACTTCTATAAAGTAGTACTATTTTATATTCTTAATATAAAATCTAATTAATTAAGAATAAATTAAAAAAATTAGTCAAGTTAATTATTTATAGTAAATAAATATTGTCTTTCTTCAAAATATCTTTACTAATCATATATAGTAGCTAAAATTACTATTTGATGCAAATTTTAACATTTACAACTATTATAAGTATTATTTTATGAAAAAAATAGATAAATATGAGAGATAAAATAGATTAGGGTCTTATATCTGGGATCAAAATGAATGTCAAATTAATTTTTATATTAAGGACATGATGATGTATTTTGTAAGACTTTTTTTCCTTCTACTTTACTACCCTTTTTTTATGGAATCTCAAGTCTCAACCATTGAATAAAGTTTAAATTGTTAGCAACAGTAATGGATTGACTATTGTTAAATTTTGATAGATCAAATTTCGCCGCACTTCGAGAATGTTCTACTTAAATTTATTCACTTTGTTATCATTTAATATTTTGGAAAAATTATTCTTTTAGTCCTTATACTTTTAACTCACTTATAACTCAGTTCTTCAA